ACAAAATGCAATAAATTTTCTCGTATTGATTGCCGTCGTGTTCATCCTCCATCCTGCCAAGAAATACTAGAGGATGATGGGAAGAAAGAAGCTTATGAGAGGAACTAAGTGAACAAGTGAAGTTGCAGTAGAATACATCTAATCTGGAAAGGGATTTAAAGCATCCTGATTTAATTATCCATCGAAGCACAGAAATATCTAAAGAATAAAACACTTATTGCCATATTTCACTTGGGAAAAAATATTTGATTTTAGAAATTTGAAAAAGAATTTGTAGTTATAATAAAAATTATCTTTTCTCTTATATAATAATTCACAAGTTTTTCCACCGATTTCGTTGCGGAATAAAATAAAATACTTGTCATTTTTCCTTCCTCTAATGTATTTTCAGAATTTATTTCCAGGGATGAATTTTATTCTTATCTTGAAAAAATAAGCTCGTGGCCTGTACAATGTTTATTTATCCAAAAGAAGAAAAAAAAATCGTTTATATTTCTATAGGAGGAAATATATTTAAGAATAAGATCTATTTCTCTCGATAATTTTCATCTTATTTACTTTATATATGATAATATATTTACCGTAATTGATAGCATGGAATGCCGTCTAATAGTTATGCTTGGAAAATCTTATAGAGTCGGCTTGTCAAAATTTTAAATTTTCCAAGCACATTTTGAAGATGATTTTATAGTCAAACGCAGGATTTTTAATTAGAGAAGCGCAGCTTGCAGAGTGGCGTCCAATCCATCAAAGTACGAAGACGTCTTACCCAATTTAGATTCAACTCCTGCATAATCTCTTCCTGCTCCCATTCCGTTACCATAACAACACATTGTCCTACTTCCATTGCTCTTTCATTGTTTATCGCCCACGTGATTTCTAAATGAATTTAATTATTTAGGAGCAAAGTTATATAGAATAATTCAAATCAACCATTAAAGATTGTTACATAAAGCACGTACAACAATATATATAGTTACATTTCTTTCAAAATTGTGACTGAGAAAACCATGTTACAGCTCATAATTTCTCGTTAAATTATAAAAATTTATATATAAATTTTAGTATGATTGGGGATTGTGACCGTTACAGGTCCTGTGTATTTTTATGTGACTTTTCTAAATTCTCTTAACTTCCCGGTTGCCATAGTTACAAGCTGATGCGGATGGAGGAATGGATGCTGTGGTCGGATGTTGTCATGGTTACAACTGAAAGCACGTGCCTGACTCACCATCTCGTCAGTCATCTGTGCGGATTGTGAAAACAATATTAGACAGAATTTGCTTCCGTTGCTTAGAAACATCACGAAAACTGCGATTTGTTGTTCAGATGCCAATTGGTGGAAAAAGCCTTTCGTTTCCATCTAATCACTTTTTATTTTGAAACAGGAAAAAAATACATTTTTACTTATTATTTTTAAATATTTTTAACCATTTTATTCATTATTTATCAATAAAAAAAATATTAAATGGCTTAATGTAAGTTGCGTGTTAATTCACCTTCATTCTCTCGTATCTCTCCGTTCATCCGGATGAATCAATATGGCAAATTTTAATTATCACCCCCGACTGCGAATAAAAATATATATATATATAAATAGGCTAAAGTAATTTTTAAAGTTTCTAGAGGCGAAGTCGTAAAAACCATCTATTATTAACTTTGCTATAACCTTTTTTCTTTTTTGTAAATTTTATTTTTATTATTATTATTCTTTTTTTCCCTTCAGAACAATAAATTTGAAGGTATAAAATACAGTGTAAAATTTTTTTATTCTTCCTCTATCCTTTATAAATAACGTCACACGATACTTTGGCGAATTTCCAAGTTATATATACACTGTACATAGTGTATATATTATTGAAAAAAGCATAAATAAAAGAATATTAAGGAGAAGCAACTTTTTACATATATGCTGCAGGTTTGATATATGTTGTTGCTACAAGACGTTTTTATCTCAAGATTACTGTCGTATTTCATTTTAAACTGTCCTTTCTATTTAATTTTGAAGAAATTTTGATGTTTAGTGTTTGTTAGAATTCGGTTTTTTTAAGGTAATTGCTATCTTCGTTTTTTTTCCTCAGGAAAAAAAATATATCGTGTAAAATTCTGTAGAGTAATCCGAGTGGCAAGTTTTTGGAAAATTGTAAAACTTTTAGAAATAAAATTCGATTTAATATTTTAGAAAATGGAAAATATATATATATATATGTTAAGAAAGGAAATTTTGGTTTAAAAATATTTTTAAATCTTAAAAAAATTATAATTTATCTAAAAATTGGATTAAAATCATCGTAAATAATAAATGATATATTTTTCATATATAGAAAATTATATTTAAATTAGCTGAAAAATAAAAGTTTAATCGCATTTTCTAAACAAATAAATTATCATTTTTATTAAATTTAATCATTATTCTTTCCAGAATCGAAAGAAAACAAAGTAAAATTTCATTTTAAGGAAGAATAAATTTCATCAAAATAAAAACACAAATTTCATCCATTTTTATGAGATAATTTATAAAAATTTAATTTTTTATAAGAAAATATTAAAATTTCACCATTATTATTATCATAAATTTTATGATTTTGTGAAATTCTACTGTTATTAATTCATGTATTTATCTTGAATTTCATTATTTCTTCTAGTAAGAACATTAATCTTTAGCTAATTGTCTAAGAATTAAGAAATTTAATGTAAATTATAATTTAATATAAATTATAATTTTATACTGTTTATAATATAAACAGTATAAAATATATTTTAATCCACTTTTAAATTAAAAAATAAATAAAATAATTATTTTGGATAGTAAAATTCGCCAGAGTAGGCCTAAATTTTTAATTATTCTACGTGGAAAAAGTATTGAAAAAATACTTATAAATGTTTAAAAAATAAGTAAAAAATTTATTAATAATTAGAATATTAAATAATATAATTTTCAAATATTACAAAATTCGAATAATTTGTAACAGGAATATAAAAGCAAAGCTCTCATCTACACCTGCAACTTGCAATAACCATTAATTATATGCAGTGGAGACCCTACAAAATTATCAGTCGTGTTATCTTTTATTCTTCATTTATCTCACTCTTCTAATTATAATAAACCATCCAATTATAAAATAATTATCAAAAAATGACATTAACTAATTGACACGAGTTTCCCCACCTTCAAAAACTCGGCTAAACTTACTAAACGTCAGCGTATATCTTGAATTTTTACTCACTTAAAATATATAATATTAAAAATAATATTTGAGATACGTAAATTGGAAGATTTAAGTAAACCATCCTACAAGTTTAGCATTAATTGGAGTTGGAAAAAGGAATAATCTCTTATTTATAGGGGAAGAGACAAACAGACAGACTCTCATAGTTACAGGAGTAACTAGGAAAGACTTTAGTTGATTATTTTTGTAAGTAGAAGAGACATTTTTACAATAATAGTACAGAAAAGTCCATCTAAATGGACTTTTATTCTTGTAAAAAGTTCTTTCTAGTTACTCGAGTAACTAGGAGAAACGTTTTTGGAATATTCCCGTAACTAAGGTGGACTTTCCTGAATTATTCCTATAAAAAACATCTCTAGTTACTCCCGTAAGTAGGAGAGACTTCTTTTAGTTTATAACTGTAACTACAATATACTGTACTTTACTAAATTATACCAGAAGAAATCTCTAGTTACTCTTGTAAGTCGTAGAGATTTTTTATGAAATTTTCGTAATTCTACAATATTTCGGAACAACGACAGGAGGAAAACGGATAGGATGACGTCTAACTATGACGTATGATGACAATATATCATCCTAGAATCTGGATAATCGTTTGAGTTTTATGTATTATATCCAAGAAAATCGAAACCCAGTTCGGTACTTTCGAAGGAAAAGAAGAAGCAGGAGAAAAAAAAATTCTGTAAAAATCTATAACATATTTTATTTTATTGCATTCTTTTTTTAGAATAAATGCGTAAAAACATACGTTATTTTTATGTATGATGTTTGTACAGGTGTATTCTGTATAAATATAAGCTTAAATAAAAACTGTTCTCGTAAGAAAACAGGAATATAAAAATAATCTGAGCGTGATACAAGCCTAGATTTTTATATTCTGATCTTTCAGAAGAAGATAAACATGTAAAAAATCCTAAAATATATTTTTTTCTATACGTAGAAAGAAATATTTGAAAAAATTCTTATGGAAGGTTGAATGGATAAATATGGACAGGTAAATGGATAAAATGTGAGTTGCTTAAATCAATTTTTAATACCGGATTTTTCTTCAAAAAAATATGGCGGAAACAGGTTTTAAATTAGAATAATTAATTAATCCTTAATCTAAACTCTGTAGGTAACTAGAATTAATAATGGAGGAGTTATAAATATTTTCGGGGCGCGATGACGTCACAAGGCAACGTAATTCCTAATTGTTGAATGTGGGTCTAGCCACAAGAGAGAAAGTCATTATTCAGAAAGGTTTTCCACCTTTAAAACTACATCTTTATTCAGGGCAAATGTTTTTTTTCCTGTTTTTAATACTCCCCTGAAAATGTCCTCTCGTAAATATAGTGCCATCTATAGGCGATAGATAGAAGCTCGTAACGTAATTTTTTTCCACCCTCCTCTTCGTGTTTTCTTGGAAATTTTCAAAAACCTTCACGCTAGATGGCGTTTTCTCCTTTCGAACGGCTATTAAACTAATCGATAATAACGTGAAATAAGTCAACGACTTGTGTCTTATTCTGGCTGATTTAGGCAATTATATCGTACCCATTAATCGAATTGGGGATCGGTTACGCAGTTTCGCTAAGCGTAGCGCGTTTTCCCAACTTTCCACTCAGTTACTACGTTTAAAAAAAAATTGCCATTAAAGCGGGGAGGATATCACGCGCCGGCAGAAGATTGTTTTTTCCAGCGGGTTATACGCGATTTCCGACGTAAATCGGGGTCTAAAACGTGTTTAAAAAACACGAGATGAAGAGGAGAAGACAGCAACATACTTACCTTGGCCGACGGAGAACACACTAACATGCCATTCTTGGCCATCGCTGATTGGTCAACGGCTACAGCTACTGACGTCATTGTCCCGTCCTACCACTGCATCCGGAAGTGATGTCACCGCTGTGCTCCTGTCATGCAGCTCCCTCTGTAGGCATTAACAGCAAGTTGTAAATTATTAAAAACCACTAAATAAACATAATTTAATTTATAATCGTTGTAGACGCCTTTATGTTAATTTAATTCGTCTATAAATAACTTAAATGAGAGCGTTTATGTATAAATCTAAAATGTAAGATAAGAATATATATATAATTTCTTTTTCTATAAGTATGAGGCCAGCTGGAACAATTCTTGAACCGAAGCTTATCCTCTTCGTGCTTTAGAAAAATAATAAAATCTATTTTCTAGATTTTTTTCTAGATTTTTTTAAATAGATTTCCACACGGAAAAACGGCGATTTATAGCGGAAATTGCGTCGTTTCTAACGCTGTTTCATTAAGAAAAAATTCATCTTTCTTCGAGAATTCTTCACACAAAGAAGATGCGTTAGAATTCAATAGAGTTTCCTCATCTATCAAGATGTTCGAATATAGAGATATATTCTTATTCTATACCCATCTAGTCCCAGAAATTTCATCTTGTTCTAATCTGATCTCCATAAGAAGGATTTCTCTCAAGGATCTCCCCTCAATGAAATATTGCAGTCGATACTCTTATTGACTTATACGTGAATAAAACCGGGTTTTGACGTCATAAGAGCTTACTTAATCCGATATTAAATTTAAATAATTAAATTTACATCCCGCTTCACGCTTATTATCCGAGTAGAAGCTTTGTAAAGTTATTGAGAGGGGAAAAAACTGGAGTTGTGAAATTAATTTTATTTCCAGATAATTAATGTTTCGAGGGAGAACTCTGTTCAGGCGTAATGTGTATAAAAAATATATATAATTGTTGCTATTAAAATTAATTTTTTTTTATTTTAGAAAGTTTCAAATTAGTTAAAACACTCCCAAAGAAAATTTGTCATTAATTAAAATAATTAAAAGGGGATTTTTTTAAAGATACAATTAAAGTAATTTTTCTGCTAATTGCTTTACTTTCACCCGTTTTCAAAGATATTTGACGCCTTTAAATGCATTTAATTAGATTTTTGGACTAATAGTTATGACTTTTTATCCCTTGACTTTTCTTTCTACTTAATTTGATAACGATTATATCATTAGAGAAAAATCTCTTTAAGAGATTAAAGATATACACACAGACACACAGATGCATCCTGTGTATTAATTTTTTATGATTATTTTGAAAGTTATTCAACAGAAAATGGGAATATTTTAAAAGGAAAAGTCGAAATAACGTATTTCTGAAGTAAAGGTGATAAGATTTCAGCACACAGAAATGAGATTTTAGAAGCTGAATAGAAGAAATGAATTGTTAGAAAAGGAGAAAAAATGAGATTTTTTTACGATAAAAATATGGATTTTAAGCGTCGAAAAATGCAATTTTTAAGCTAAGATAATGAGAAAACGAAGAATTACAATGTCTAAATTTATATGAAATCGAAAAAAAAAATTATAATTTAAACTTTTTTACTTTAAAAATATTTAATAAAACAAATTGAATATTTTTAATTAATAAATAAAAATTCTTAAATATAGAATTTCAATATTTGTACTAATTTTTAGTCTTAACAAGTATGCAATTTAACATGAAAAATGATGTCTTAAGTAACATCATTCATATCACTCTCTTATCTTAGAAAATTATCAAATTTAGAGAAGAAAATTACATAGAACAAATGCAAAATACCGTGTTTTCCTTATAAAATCAATAAGAAAATTATATATAATCTGTACGTTTTTAAAACAGCTTAGCAACATATTACCACTATCTGTGCGGGATCTCATTTACATAATGTGACTACAAATATTTATTTAAAAAATCGAATTGCTTTTCCCCCTTACACAACTGTCTTCAGGATGCGAAGCGATGCATTTGACAACAAAGATGTCAATAGCTTCCGTTTCCGGTATTGTATTTTTTGGGGGATTAAAATCAATAAAATGTCAACGCGTAAAAATAAAGTTTTAATATCAAAATAATATTCTTACGTTATCACGTTTTATAATTACCATAGACGCATTAAACTACCCTTAGATTGGCGCATGCGTTATTTATAATTATGCAAAATAATGAGTTCTGTTCGTCTGATTGGAGAATGAGTATTTTTTTTTTAATATATATACGTCAATCTGACGTCACCTCTTCAATTTTACAATGAAAAATTCTAAGGGATGACATGAAATTTACATAAAAGTTTGCAATATCTTAACCAATCCACACACTCCTAAGGTGTACGTCGGGCACGTGCCTAGGGGGTCGAGTCTTGTAGGTTTCAATATTGAAAAAAATAAAACAACTGTATATTAGTATTTATAAATACTTTTATAGTTACAATTAGACGTTATTACTTTATGATGCCGTAAAATTATGTAAAGGAGCCCTCAATTTTGTTTGCTTAGGGCCGCGGAGTCTTAATCCGCCACTGCTAAGGTGCATTCGTTTTATCTAAATAATGCACACTTTTACGTCATATTGACGTCATAGTCACACTTTTTCATTAGAAAATGGTAAGGATGACGTCAAATTCTTGTAATACAGTACATTATCTGGATGCACCTCTTACGTTTATCCTAAAGAATCTCAAAGGATGCTTTATAATTATTATATTAGCATAAGTATTAAAAATAAACAAACATTTATCGCGTTAAATGACGATATTATCAATATAGAAATAAAAAATATTCCATAAAAATAATCCAGTATCAAAAAGTTCTCTCGCTAGATGGCAGCATGCAGCATCGGCAGAAGCGCCCCCTTAAATTCAAATTTAAAAGTAAAGGAAAATTTGCATGCGAAACGGCTACAGATGTTAATCTTTTAGCTTTAGTAATTAGTTAATTAAACGAGTCTATCTTTAAAAATGGCAAATGTTTGTATCAATGGATAAGTTGGAAAAGAGGCGATTTACTTCTCAGTAATAAAAAGTGAAACCGGAGTGTTAAAAGTGTCGCCTTTAGTCGTAAAAACCCTACCAACTGTTTCTTTCTTCTCGACTTTCTTTTTTTAGTCCGGGTTTGACGAGACGCTTGAGAATTTCTTTAATCTCAAAGCGTCTTTACGAGTTCAAATTTCAACAAGTGACGCTATTTTTTTATATATTAAAAAATAATGCTTCACGTCTAGCAAAACGTATTTATCAAAGAGAAAATTAAATTTCTAACGTCACTTTACTCGTCTACAATCATCAAACCTTGCGTTAATCAACAATAGATGGCGCCACCGTGTAGTTTTTCGGCATTTTCGTCCCCCTTAGCGTAATAAATATTTATAATAATAAAAAAATTCATTAAAACAAAATATAATTTTGTAATTTTTTACATTAAAATATTCATCATTTTTATTAAAAAATATGTATGTTTAAATGAATATTTACTTATCGAACATCCGATGAGATGGGTTAATATTACAATTAAAATTTCTATGAATTTTTAAAGGGATTTTAATAATTCTTATCAAAAGTTATTCCGTGAACAAATCCTTCTGCAAATAACTCACTGGATAATAGTGAAACCCAACTATTCCCCGATAGCAACAGTGGTAATTGAGGAAATCCTCTAGAGACTATCCTAGTAGATTCAGAGGTATCCTCTGTTGACTAAAGACATATATTAGGCTTGATATCGAGAATTAAAGCCGAGTGAAGATACCTCTGGTATGACAAAACAATATAAAACTCTAAAAATTAAAAAAATTCACTGAAAAAGCTTCGAAAAACCTCTTCGAATTTAAGAGATTCTAATATTTAAATTCAGTTGTAAACTAATACTAGAACATAATTTTAAAATATTTTAAGTAATACAACAACTCTATATCCTCGGGGATGTGAATTTTAAATATCAAACATTTCAAAAAGCTAGAAATAATATTAAAAATTCAAATTTAATTAAGTTAAATATAAATATGCACATCTTGATGACAACATTAATATTTGGAATTAAAAATTAGGTTAGATATTTATATATTAAACAGGCTCAGAACTGAGAAAATTAAACCTTTCGTTAATGTTTTTTCTTTAAATAATAGAATTTTAGTTAAAAAAAGCCCTTAAATTTAAATATACTTTGTAATGTATACAAGTGTACACAGCTACATAAAATATGCAAATACAACGTAAAGTATTGATTGTATAGTTTATATCTATGGGTATATTGAGATTACATTGAAATATTATGCTGATAATCATAAAATAAGAAGATAAATAAGCTTGAATATATTAAAATGTGTAGTTTAAATTAAATGTATATACACTAACTATAAATTGAAATTATACTGTATATATTTAACATAATAAAAACATATTTTAAATTCAATTTGAGCATTTCAGATTGTGCAAAAATCAGAGCTTAACGACTTCTTAATTGACTTTATACTTTGCACTTGGGCGGAGTTCGATAGATTCTTTTATCGATTATCATATGGAGGTAGAGGAACTTGGTCATTGATTAGAGGTTTGGGCGGAGAATGCTCTTCTACTATTGATCTTNTAAAGGATAATTCAATTAAAAATAGCTTTAACGATCAATTAACAGTGGGCATATATCGGAAAACCGGTGGTATATCCGAATATTTGGTAACTATACAGTAGAGAAGCACTGTATATATTTAACATAATAAAAACATATTTTAAATTCAATTTGAGCATTTCAGATTGTGCAAAAATCAGAGCTTAACGACTTCTTAATTGACTTTATACTTTGCACTTGGGCGGAGTTCGATAGATTCTTTTATCGATTATCATATGGAGGTAGAGGAACTTGGTCATTGATTAGAGGTTTGGGCGGAGAATGCTCTTCTACTATTGATCTTCCTCAAATTGATTAAATTAGAGATGCAATCGTGATTTGGCGTCATTGGCCAATCTATACTTTATTAATGTATCTTTACGGAGGTTTAATGGTCTTATTTAAATGTATAAAGATTGGGCGGAGGCTGTTATCTCTTTAAGGGAATTATTAAACACATTGATAGCTTATGTCAACCGGCAGCTAGAAAATAACTTTACGACGATTGAAAAAAAAT